CTTACAACTGAAAGGACATATGTGTCTTCTCCCATAGGCTGCAGTTTCCCATAGTACTGAGTATTGCAATCTAATAAATGCTTGCCCTATCTCGGGTAAGAATCTAAAACAGATGTTTATAAAGGATGGTTGTGTATCATTCTTTCAAATGCAAATGACAAAAATTCAAATGGGCTTTAAAAGAGAGAGAGAGAATATATGTAACTGAAAAAACAGGAGTGTATCTTGTAGCTTCAGGAGGAGCTGGACCCAGGCTCTTTCTTATTCAGACTCCACCTCTTTCTTACCAGGTTCACTGCTTCACATGTGCTCCCCACATGGTGGCAGTTCCAGTATCACCTCTTCCTCACTCCAAGAAAAGAAATTCACCTCTTCCTCACAACAAGAAAAGAAATTCTTAGTTCTGACAAAAGTCCCAGATATGAGTCTCAGTGTGTGACATCCCTGAACATATCACTGTGATTCAGGAATAGTGGATCTTGAGTGGGACAGTTCCACATGAATATTGTGAACTGATGGTAAATAAGGGTGGTCCCTGTAAGGAAAGATAGGAAGATGTGCTTCCAGACAATAGGAACTAGATGCTGAGAAGTGGGCATATAGGAATGCTAGAATCAAGGCAGGAGACATCAAGAGCCAGTGTAAACTCATCAACAGCAAGTTCTGACTGCTGAGCTAATTTCCTTTTTGATTGGAATATTGATCTGGTAGATCTGGGCAAAGCTAGAAGATCATGAGTCTCTGGGGCTCTGCAGATCTTTCTGTTTATTTTGTGGGTACACCAGTGAGTTGAGATGATGTGGTCAGAGGCCTCTTCAGTGGACAAAAGAGAAGCTAACTCATTGCCCTAGTGCAATCTCCAGTGGGGAGTCACTAGGTTCTGTTCTTGGCCTTGTCCTCATCAAACTGTTTAGTAAGAACTTGGTTAATTTAATGCTGTAACTTGGTTGAAGGAAAGTATGTAAGACTTCCCAATCTCATTTGAGAATGACAGGAAGCTGAAGAAAATAGCAAGTACTCTGCCTGACAGCCTCCACATCCTGAGAGGGCTCCATATGGGAAAGAGGGATTAGATGGAATATGATGGAATAGAATTGGGATGAATTGAAGCTTCTGTGTATAAATTTAGAAAGCCAGCAACCTAAGAGTAGACAGGAAACACCCAGTTGTTGATAGTACCTATGGTAAAGCTCTAGGGCACAGTTCCACAAAGTGTGGGTTTCACACCAGTGGCACCAATAAAAATAGTTGATAGGAGGTTGGGAAGGCTTGGTAAAAGCACAGCTTCTTAGATACTTTCCAGGTATGGAATCAGATTGGGGATAGAGAAGAGTCAGTGAACCAGAGTTACCATGAAATCTAAGGTCCCCATTCTAGTGGGCATTAACAGCCCATGTCACTGCCCAGCAAGTGATCAACCCCTACATTTGTATTGGGCCATATGAGCAGATGTGCCAATTGGACAGGATTCCCTTCAAGAGGTGCCTTCAGAGGCTCGGCCTCACTGGAGAGTGTCCATGCCAGAGGCAAGGACAGGTCTGTGACAGAAGCAGAACTGTTTGCAATGAGGGAAAAGATTCAAGGATTGACCAAGGTTTTGTCTCCTGAAGTAATAGAACAAGTCTTCTGAAATAACAGAAACAAAAATGGACATGATTAATGTGGCCCCAGATGAAGAACCCAAAGAGGGGCAGATTCCTGTTCCCCAGAACAGGGGAACAGCAAACAAACACTTAGCTAGCAAACAAACACTTAGAGATGAGAGCCACACACTGTTATGGTATATTGCAAGGGAGACTACAGAAAGTTGGTGAAGGTTAACCACCATGTAGCCACATCTAGCCCCTCCCTTCAAGACTGGGGACAAGGGCAAAGCAAGTGGGAGGTGTCAGGAACCCTGCCCATCTGGCTATCTACCTTTGGGTCTGAGACAAGCCCTTCTTGATAGCTTCCACCCTGGATACTTAAGTAAAAGTATCTGCCTAAGAAGAGACATCTAATCCCCTTTCTCTACAAGAGCATCCCTGTTCTTGTCTGTCCGGAACGGAATGGCTGAGCAGAGTGACTGAAAAGAACTATTCATGTGAGGATCTGGGGATGGAGTGTGCTTGGAAAAAATGAAAATAAGAAGGCCCAGAGATGGGCATGAGCTTGGGTGCTTGAGAAACAAAAAGTCCTCTGGACTCTAGGTCCATGCCAGGATATAGAGGGCAGAACAGCATTAATAATGCTGCATTCCCAGACCATGATAAGATTACACTTCCTGATCCTCTAGGGCAGGGTTGGGGGAGCTTTATCAGTTCTGGCCAATGCTTTGAGTGGAAGTATCACAATGACAAGTCTTACTTCTTCTGGACTTAACCATTGGTTGTTGATGGGTGTACCTAGAGTTCCTTCTTCTATCTCATGAAACAACAATACCCCCAGAGAGTAGCTGTTTTGTGAGCCTGTAACTTAAAGTAAGGAAGATCTGGAGCAAGTGACCCATGATGGACAACTGAGAAGTAAACCTTTGTTGATTTAAGCCACTGAGATTTGAGGACTGATAGCTACTACACCATAAAATGGCCTATCCTGGTCTAGCTCCTTCAAGAAAGGGGGCTAGAAAAGTGACTAGAGCAAACAAATTGAACAGAGACTCCCTTCTTTCCTGTACTCTAAATTTATCTCCAAATTCTAATCCCACAGCATAAAATTCATAACGAGGAACTATAAGGAGCATGGGTGTTGAAATCAAACCTCCCAGGAATCCATCTCAGCTTTCCCTGCAATCTTGAATAAGGCTGGAGCTAGGCCTATGGCAATACCCTTCTCCACACCTCAGGTACCTGATCTGTAGAATGGGGAAAGCTATGTTCATTTAACAGAATTACATGTGAAGATTAAACCAAATTAAATACAGCCATGGACATTGCAGAAAATGCCAACTCCATCATATAATTTTAAATCCCAGTCCCCAGTCTTGGTCCATTGTCCTCAATCACCTCCCTCCAGTGTCCACACCCCAGTCCTCGTCCTCCTCACCCTATTGGCCCCAGCTGCAGTCCTACTACTATTCCATCTCTCCCACCTCTTTGGGAACAAAGTGCAGCATGGGCGTCAAAGGGAACAGCCTGGCACACACTGCTTCCCCAACACACGCACTTTCTCTTTCCCTTGTAGATCCAGACTACATACAAGCAATCCAGGAAGCAGCTTTCAAAACCAGAAGCTGGTGGGGTTTTGTGGACATCTTCATCTGGGATCATCTAAGGTTAATTTTGCCTATTTTTTAGTTAAAATTCTAAGCCAGTGATTTCACTAAGATGGCTTCTATTGAAAATTTAAAAAATATATCCATAATGCCCCTCCCAACTGGCACCTGGGGCAGAAGAGCCAGCTGCCCCTTTAGAGGGCTTCTGGGCCAGTCCCAGCCAGGTCTCTGCCTCCTGGGCTCTGCCGTCCAGTGTCCATGGATGTATCTCTGGAAAACAGCTGGTTATTATTATTTTTTTTAATGTAGAGTTAAGAGAAAAGCAGAACATTTCTCATCACCCTTCTTTATCAAAAGTGGGAAACAAAAGACAGACCAAGAGAGGGCCTCGTGTTTCAAGAAATATAACAGAGCTCATATCTCTTTGTGCAAGCCAAGACCATTCTCATACTGCCCAGCGAGGAGCACCAATTTGTATTATCGACCGATTGTCCCCTGTAGGCGTTTCAGTTTGCGACCCCGCCGTTACCCTTCTCATCCCGCCAAACCCAGAATAGGACCCTCTCCCCGCGCGCGCATTTGTCATTTTCTCCTTCAAGACAACCGTGTTTATTTTAACCGGATTAGGGAATGGGGGAGGGGAACAGAAGACTCCCGCAGCGGTCATTGCAGGAGGATCCTGGAGACAACGTGACTCGCCCAAGGTCACAGAAGTAGAAGGCGGAGGCGCCCAGACCCTACCCGAGGTGTCTCTAGCTGCCGAAGCCCAGCTCTTTCTTTCACGCCCACGTCTCCAGCGCGGTGCGCTCTCCGTGCGCAAACACCTAGCGCTCAGTCAGATGCGCTGCGCCCTCGGGTTGTTTTCCTTAGGCGACCGCGCAGTAAGGTTAGGGAAACCTTGGGTCACTCTAGACCCAGAAGGCTACGTGGTTGTGACTGCGGCTGTCCCCAAGTCTGGCCTGCCGGTGACTGGGGGGCCCCCCGGCATCTCTGCACGGGGGCCAGGGCCCGGGTGCTCTCCTGCAGTCCCCTCCTCAAGCCGCGGGCTAGTGGCGTACCGCGGCGCGAGGACGGCCTCGGCCCGCAGCCGTGAGGAGGGATGTGAGGTGGTGTAGGGAGAGAGAACTGCAACGGAACCTGCCGGGACACCCCTGCCCCAGACCGATCTCCGCAGGCTGGCGCCGCGCCGGGGTCGCCGCAGCCTCGGGCCCCTCCCGGGCCACCTGTGCGCAGGCTGGCGGGCCCGGGAGAGCCCGGATCCCGAGAACCGATCCGCTCCGGGTTTCAGGCTCCTGCCCCGGCCCCCAGAGACCGCGCGGGGCGCTGAACGGCCTCCCCACCCAATACCCCAACCCTTCCCTTGGGGAGTCTCGGGCAACGCCAGGAGGGATCCCCGGAGCTGGGGGTGGCCCGCGCGTGCGGCGCGGGGCGTCCCAGCCCCTCCTTTCTTCCCCCGCCCCGCCCTGCCGCCGCCCCGCTCCG